AGGAGGAGCAGGAGGAGGAGGAGGCGGAGGAGGAGGAGGAGGAGGAGGAGGAGGAGGAGTCAGAGGAGGAGGAGGAGGAGGAGGCGGAGGAGGAGGAGGAGGAGGAGTCGGAGGAGTCGGAGGAGTCGGAGGAGTCGGAGGAGGAGGAGGAGGAGGAGGAGGAGGAGGAGGAGGAAGAAGAACACCCCTGGTGAGATCAGCTGCGCCTCATCGAAGGCTTTCTGGGGGTGCTCGCATCGTCCGGAGCGGCCGCCGGGGCCTCGAGCTATGACCCGAGAGCCACCAGCAGAGGGGGCGTGCCTTCTCAAGAGGCTCAGAAGGCCTCTGGCCTTCTGAGAAGATTTCGGGGCCCTTCTTTGAAGCCACAGCGGGGCTCCACCGAATCCACAGAGGGCTTCTGAGAAGCTCGTCTGGGCTGATCCGCGAGGGCTCCCGGGCCCGAGGCTGCGCCCGCAGTGACGTCCTGGCGATGCCTTCAGCAATGAAGCAAAATCTGTCCCTGGACCCCTCCCGGGGTTCATCCTGGCCAGTTGCTCGAGCCGCGCCCAGCCGCGGCGACGAGAACCAACGGTGGCGCCCCCCAAAACGCCCGAGACGAAGACGTCGGCGTCGTGACTTCGTCGCGACGCCCCGACTCATGCTGGGGGTTTGGCGGCCCAACTCCCGAACTCTGCGGGGTTTCCGGCTCAACTCGGGGACATGGGATGGGGTGGCGCCCATCCTCGACAAGGGGTGCATCTCCGAGCTTTCCTCCCTCACTGTGCGTCAGAGTTATGAGAGAGAGAGAGCTCGGGGATCTCAGGACTCCGACGTCGTGTTTTTTTCACAGCGCGGACCCCCTGAGGTCTGGACCCCTTCCCCTGCCTGGGACTGGCCCCTCATCCCGAGTTGCTTTTTGACCTTCCCCGGGCTCGGTCAAGGCCCACGGAGGCCGAAAGCGGCGAAAACACCTCCCGTTGTGATCTAGTTCGCGACGCGAGGAGGCCTAAGAGATCGCCTGCGGCTAGCTCGCGACGCGAGGACGCCTCAGAGATCGCCTGCGAACGCAGAGGCCTCCGGCAACCCGCCCGGAGAACCTCGGCCCGCAGGAGACTTCGGGGGGGAGGCACTGGCAGAGGCCTCCCAGATGGGGTCCGAGTAGATGGGGCCGGGGGAGCGCGCCGCATCGCCGATGCAAGGCCGACTTGCGATGGCAAGAGGTGGCGGCGCAACGTGCAAGGCAACCGTTCCTGGCAGTAGGAGCCAAAGCGGAGGTGAGCGGGGTGTGGGAAGGAGGAGGAGGAGGAGGAGGAGGAGGAGGAGGAGGAGGAGGAGGAGGAGGAAAGAGGAGGAGCAAGGAGGAGGAGCAAAGAGGAGCAAGGAAGAGCAAGGGGGAGGAGGAGGAGGAGGAGGAGGAGGAGGAGGAGGAGGAGGAGGAGGAGGAGGAGGAGGACTGTAAACCCAAGAGTCATCAACGATGGAGTAAACCCTCCCTCCAAACTCCCTCTTCATAGGCCCCTACAACAGCTCATTTCCATTGATGGAACTGCCTCGTTGGAAGACAACTGTTTGAATACCCTGAAGCATGCCAAAAAATAGTTCTCGGGATTCCAGTGCCACGGAGCAAACTGCTCGTTGCGTCTTGACGATCCTGAATCGAACCAGAACGCTATTCCGAAGACTTTAGCACAAACAATCACCGTAACTGTTGCCCTGCAAAATCCGGAATCCTTCCAAAACAACATTTCTGGCACGCTGATGATGGGAATCCGTGAAGCTCTGGCAAATTTTGTGAACGAATGTGCGCGGCGCTCCGGAGAGAACCACATTTCGAAAAGGAACCGGCCTCAGTCTGTGGGACTCTTGCATTTTTTTATGTGTGCTGCGCAAGGCGAGAAACACATTTTGAGAAAGAAGCGCTCGTAATCCGTGAAGCTCTTGCACTTGTTTAACACGAATGTGCGCCGTGTTAGGGCGAGAACCAGTTTGAAAACCACCCACCCTCAATCCGTGAAGCACTTGCAGCTTTTGAAACGAACGTGCGACGCGCCAAGACGAGAGCCACATGTTGAAAACGACTTGCCGTCAATCGTCCATCCGTGAAGCTCTTGCAAATTGTGAAAACGAATGTGCGCGGCGCTAAGGCGAGAGCCACATTTTGAAAACCACCCGACCTCCATTTGTAAAACCGTTGCCAACTTTTAAGCTTCAGAGTCGTAATTTGTGAGGAAGTCTCAGGCGAAACGCCCGGCCCGCCCTAAAAACTGGCCTCGGGGTGCGAAATGGGGGAAGCTATTTATAAGGAAAAGGAATGGAGGAGGAGGAGGAGGAGGACGAGGAGGAGGACGAGGAGGAGGAGGAGGAGGAGGAGGAGGAAAAGAAGGAGGAGGAGGAAGAGGAGGAGGAGGAGGAGGAGCCCGAGTTTCTCCACGCCAGGGCCGCCGATGCATCGCCCGCCGAAGGACCAAGACGGGCGCGGCCGCCCCCGACCTGCCGGCGGTGCCCGCGCTCTGGTGGGGAGGTGCGGCGGTGCTCCGTTGCGTGGGCTCGGGGGCCTCTGCCTGCCTGCGCGCGAGCCCGCCAGCGCGCAGAAACGATTGGAGCTCGACCACAAGAAGTCCTCCACAAGAAACCCAACCCCGAGGCCCCAGGACGTCTATCGATTCTTGGTGTGGGAGCGTCGCGTCTTCCATCGCAGAAACCACCGGAGCCCAAGACACCCAGGGCACCCTGGAGGCCAGCAGGGTACTTCTCGGCATGGGCTTCCGCTGTGTCTGCTCGCGCTGCGGAGTGAAGGCGCGGCGGGAGGCTCTGGCAGCGTGTCGGCCTCGGGGGGCCCTCGCCGGGCCCCGAGGCTGGCAAGAGACGGCCCGGGACCCAGACCCCCGACGTCGTGATTTTTTCGCAGCGTCGACCCCCAGAGGTCTGGACCTCTTCCCGGGGACCAGCTTCTCATCCTGAACCGTTTTTTGGACGGTCCCGAGGCCCAGGAAGGGCCCCCCGAGGCCGAAAATAGCGAAACACCTCCCGCCGTAATTTTTGGCACAGCGCGAGGAGGTCTGGGTCTCTGGCCCCCGTAGGCCGGGCCAGAAAAAAAAGCGAAACACCTCCCGTCGTAATTTTTTCAGCGCGAGGAGGTCAAAGGGAGGAGAGGCCTGTGCCAAGGCACGGGGCCCAGGCCTCTGGGCGTCCACGCTGTGAGAACACCGCGACGTCGGAGCTCCAGGGCTCCGGGCGATCTCCGTGAGGGGCCTCTGATAGCACGGGGGACGGTCGGCCCCTCGGAGGCGCCCGTGCTGTCGCGCCGTGCCGCTGGGCGCGGAGGCGGCAGCAGCGGTAGGCAAGAGGGATTGTGTGTGTGTGTGTGTGTGTGTGACGGAACCTTCTCGATGATACGTTATGGCGGTGAGGAAAGATGGTTCGACTCCTCGGGAGGCCTTGCCGAGCAATCGTAGCTGGTAAGGCTTGAGCCAGAGGTGGTTATGGGCCACTCTGGATACACACACATGCATGTCAGGCACAGGCAACTGGGCAGAGAGGGGTTTAGCTCATGGGACCACTCATGACATTAACGGGCGGGGATTAAGGGTGGAGGGGAGAAGAGCTGGGATGATAACGGGGAGGGCGAGGCTGAGCAAGGCCACAGGAGCGCGGATTGAGAACACCAGCCCCCTCTCTCGCCGACGGCCCACTGAGCCTCGTGGTCAGGGTACCTGAAAGGAAGGATACTCCCAGGTGTCGGGCCCAATCATACATAACATATACACGCACGCTCCCCAAACTAGGGTCGCTGTTGTCTCTCGTGCCAGGTGCGCGCACAGTCGGGGCGTTGACCTAAGGAACCCTAAGTAAGGAACGCGGCCCCTTTTTCCACAAGTTAAACTTCGATTTCCCATCGAAAACATAAGGGAAACCAGAGGCAAGCTGTGAAACACTTAAGGAACGCGGACCCCCTCCCCAACCAAAAGGGTTCCTTCTTCAGGGCCCCGACTGTACGGAGGATGAGGGGGGAACGCTGGGGGACCAGCTCAGGGGGGGGGGGGGGAACGTCGAGCTGGAATCGGCCATACCTCGTCAACCCATCGGCGGCACGCACCCGATGGCGACTCCGCACCTTCCAGGGCGGGGTGGGCCGTCGGGCCCCCGCGGCGGTGACTCGGGCGATTGGGGGACGCTGCGTCCCCCTCTGAGCGCATCCTCCCCTGGCGATGCCCCGAGAGGATGTAATTAGGGGGGGGGGCGTGCGCCACCGAGGCCGGGCCCCTGTCGGGCCTCCCTCTCGGCTTTGCTGGGGGCTTTGGGAGGTAGCCCTAAACGTGTACGCCTTAAATATTCAGCTCCCGTAGGTGTGGCTTTCAAATCACAGTTCTTGTGCAGGTTGGAAGCACGCTTGCTGGCATAACTGCCGCACGTTCCACAGAACCAGAGGCCTAACTTGGTGCACAGAATCATGCCATGGCTCTTATGGACCCAGCCTCCCCCTATGTGAACGTTATCGCCCGCCCCGAGGGTATGAAAGGAACCATTGAGATTCTCAGGGACGAAACAAGGGCTGGCCTTCCAGAAGCTCGCGGTCTCTAACGAAGCGCTTCCAAAGCACCTAGAACAACGACGGCCACACTCCTCCAAAACATGGGAGGTAGAACAGTTTAAAACGATAAATGGGGCAGGAGGCGCAACGGGCGAGGGAGAAGGACGCTTGCCTTTGACCTCACCATGCTCACCTTTCGTACTCGCTCCTGCACGTACACATTCGAATGCTGCTCGAAGTAGCCGATGCCGAATCAGAAATACATCACATTCCAGCAACATCAATCTGGATCTCACCGATGAATCCAAACGAACCTCCAAGGCCGCGAGCCGAACCAACTCATCCACGGCGGCATTGACTAATATCTTCCACGCATCAGTAGGGTTCTGGACCAATGCACTCGGAGGAGGAGGAGGAGGAGGAGAGAGGAGGATAAGAGGGCCGTGCGCCACCGAGGCTGGCCGTGACGCCCCTCACCCTTCCCCCGCTCCCGGGCGAGGCCAGGGATGGCCGCGTCGCTGAAGGAGACCCGGTCCAGCACGACCTGGGCGTCTGCTGGCACGCCGCCCCGCTCCGCTCCAGGCAGTCGCGGCACCACAGCGGACAGCATGCGGACTGACACGACCCGATCTGGACTCGGGTGTGGAACGGCCACCCTGCCCTGATCGGTGGTGGAGGAGGAGGAGGGAGGGAGGAGGAGAAGAAGGAGGGAGGAGGAGTTACTCGCCGATCTAGCCCCTACTCGTGTCAGACTCCACACCAACTTTGTCTGGGGGGCGGCTTGCCAGCCATCGACCTCGCGCGGGGTGGTGCGCGGGCGCGGCGAGCACCGGATGACGGCGTGCCGCGATGGTGTGTAGCGCGAGGGGGAAGAGAGCTGGCGCGAAGGAAACGGGTCCTAGCAGAAACTTGCACTGGACGCCGTTCTAGGCGTCCCGTATCGTCTTGCTGCCTCTTGGGAACCGACGCTCGCCGACGCTAATCGGAGCTACAACTGCGCTTCATCATCGATTGCCAGGCGCTGGCGCACGCTGATGCCCTGCAGAGACGGATTTGCGAGCACACACGCACAGGGCTCCCTAAAGGCTGGTCGACTTTTCGCCAATCGACTTGTGGGAATCGAGCCAGGTAAATCCAGGTAAATGCAGACAAATCAAAGTAAATCCTAGTAAATGCAAGTACATCGAGATATATCCAGGTAATTCCAGACAGATCCAGAGATCCCCAGGGAAAATTAGAGCAACTCGCGGCCGCTCTAGCGCGAGTCGAAGGACGGCAGAAACCGTTGAGCCTGTAACGACAGGGCTCTCGTGTCGGGGGCGGCAAAGAGGGGGGAGTCCAAGAGGCTGGGCTCAATATCTCTCCTCCCCCTGGTTGGCCGGCGGTGGCCTGGGGGTGTCCCGCCAGTGTTCCGTGATGTCCCGTGGCGAGGAGTCTTGCGGTGTCCGGAGGTGGCCCGTGGAAGTCGATAGTGAGATCGACAACTAGTGAGATCGATTGAGTGAGGTCGATCGTGAATTCTGCAGTGAGATCGATAGTGAGATCGATAGCGAGACCTATAGTGAGGCCGAAAACGGATAGATGGGCCACAATGGTGGCCCGAAGATCTCCCGATGGTGTCCGGATGGTGTCCCGGTGGTGTCCACATGGTGTCCCGATGGTGCCCCGATGGTGTCCACATGGTGTTTCATGCTGTCCCGATGGTGCCCCGATAGTGTCGCGATGGTGTCCTGGTGGTGTCCACATGGTGATCTGATGGTGTCCCGATGGTGTCCCCATGGTGTCTCAATGGTGTCCCAATGGTATCCCGATGGTGTCCCGATGGTGTTCCGATTGTGCCCCGTTGGTGTCCCGATGGTGTCCCGATGGTGTCCCGATGGTGTTCCGATCGTGCCCCGATGGTGTCCCGATGGTGTTCCGATGGTGTCCCGATGGTGCCCCAATGGTGTCCCAGGCGTGCCCCGATGGTGTCCCGATGGTGTCCCGATGGTGCTCGGACGGCGTCCCGATGGTCTCCCGATGGTGTCCCGATGGTTTGCCGATGGTGCTCGGACGGTGTCCCGATGGTGTCCACATGGTGTCCGCATGGTGTCTCGATGGTGTCCCGATAATGTCCCGATGATGTCCGGATGGTGTCCGGGTGGCGTCCACATGGTGTCCCGATGGTGTCCACGTGGTGTTTTCATGCTGTCTCGATGGTGCCCCGATAGTGTCGCGATGGTGTCCTGGTGGTGTCCACATGGTGATCTGATGGTGTTTCGATGGTGTCCCGATGGTGTCGCGATGGCGTCCAGATGATGAACCGATGGTGTCCTGGTGGTGTCCCCATGGTGTCTCGATGGTGTCTCGATGGTGTCTCGATGGTGTCCCGATGGTGTCTCGATGGTGTTCCGATGGTGCCGCGAAGGTGTCCGCATGGTGCACCGATTGTGCTCCGATGGTGTCTCGATTGTATCCCGATGTTTGTCCCGTGACATCGATCGATAGACAGATAGGTCGACCGATGGATAGTGAGACCAATCGATAGTGAGATTGATAGATGGATAGTGGGAGTAATTGTGAGATGGATAGTGGGACCGATTGAACGTGTGATTGGTAGACTGATAGAGTGACCGATGGTGAGATCATTAGTGGGATCGATAAACAGAGACTGAGACTGATAGTGAGATAGTGCGGTCGATCTTGAGACCAATGGATCAGTAGTGAGGACAATAGTGACATCGACAAACAGATAGTGCGATCGATCAGCAGATAGTGAGAACGATAGGGAGATCGATAGTGAGACCTACAATGAGGCCGCCAGTGATATCGATAGACAAATAGTGGACAGACAGACAACAGTGGTGTCCCGATGGGCATTTCTTTGTCCCCAGAGTGTCCCGATGGTGTCCCATCTGTTGTCATCAATTGCCCCCACAACCTGCTTATCACCCGAAAGATGGTCGTACACATAACCATCTCGCCCCGTAACGTTTTTGACAATCGCGGGGCCTGGGGATGGCCTCCGGAGCCGGGTAACGGGCAACAACCTTCAGGACCCGCTTCTTTTAGGGCCAATTTCGCACACACACACAAACACACAAGCACATACACATACACATACACACAAACACACAGACACACACAAACAGACACACACACAAACACAAACACACACACAAGCACACACACAAACACACAAACATACCCAACCACACAAAACAAACACACCCACAAGCACACGCACAAACACAAACACACGCGCATGCGAAGGGCGAGACAACCCAGGCGGGTGCCGCGGGGCCGCGAGGAAGGCTGCGGGATCCGACCTCCAGCACCCGGCTGTACGGGCAGCGGAGCACCGTCAGAGCGTGCGGCGTCACGTCCCAGCGGCCTGCTCAGGTCAGGCCGTCCCCAGCACCAGCCAAGATCAGTAAGAGGAAACACAACCAGCATCGGATCGGCGCTGGAGCCCTCTGGCGGCGACCCCGCGCCCCCTTCCTCTCTCCTCCCATCCCTGCATGTCATCATCAACATGACCATCGTCACCATTATTGTCATCACACGGTTTGCGGTCCCATAATAGGGAGCTCCATCGAAGGCCCCAGTGGGAGGGTCCGCATGGCGGCCTCGGGTCATTTTGGCACACCCATCTCACGCTTCGTGGCCCCATATGGGGCTCCACCGTAAGCCCCAGCGGAAGGGTCCGCATGGCGGCCTCGGGCCATTTCGGCACACCCCTCACACGCTTTATGGCCCCATATGGAGATCCACCGAAGGCCCCCAGTGGGAGGGTCAGCATGTCGGCCTCGGGCCATTCTGGCACACCCCTCACATGCTTCGCGGCTTCGACAGGACAAGGTTCGCATGGCGGCCTCGGGCCATGTCGGCGCACTCCTCACACTCTTCGTGGCCCCATATGGAGCTCCACCGAAGGCCCCCGGTGGGAGGGTCAGCCATTCTGGCACACCCCTCACACGCTTCGCGGCCCCGAAGGGACAACGTCCGCATGGCGGCCTCGGGCCATGTCGGCACACCCCTCGAACGGTTCGTGGCTCCATATGGAGCTCCACCGAAGGCCCCCAGTGGGAGGGTCAGCATGGCGGCCTCGGGCCAGGGGCCGTCGGGAGCTCCACCGAAGGCCCTTATTGGCGGGGTCCGCATGGCGGCCTCGGGCCATTTCGGCACACCCCACACGCTTCGTGGCCCCATGGGGCGTTCCACCCCAGGCCCCAATGGGATGGTCCACATGCGACCCCCCCCATTTCGGAATACCCCTCAAACGCTTCGCGGCCCCACGGGGAATTCCGCCGAAGGCCCTCAATGGCAGGGTCCGTATGGCGCCCCCTCGCCCCATTCCGGCATACCCCTCACATGGTTCGTGTCCCCATAGTGAGCTCCACCGAAGACTCTCACAACTGTTTACTCACACATGCATATGGTTGGGTCCTTCGCCAAGAGATTTCTTGTTTAGCTCTTCTCAAATGAATGATTTTTCGAATCAGTCAACGTCGACTCGGGAAACAAAATCATATCGGAACGTGCGTCTGATCGAGCCGCACCGGTACGGAGGTCGGAATCGAAATGAATCGGCCGCGCCAGAATGCACAGCGGCGCCTTGCAAGCATCGGGTCGCGTTTGATCGTTGGAATATCGGAATCGAATCTGATCGAGTTGGCCGAAATTTGTACATATCGGGGATATTGAATCGGATCGATTGGATCGACATGGAGCCTGCTCAAGTCAGACTGTCCCTGGCATTGCTGCTGTGCCTGCTGGCCACTCAGACTTCGAAGAAAACACATATGCGTAAACGTACACGTCCAAAGGTAAGCGCGGGTTTCTCGGTTCGACGCTGGACTCTCCTGCAAAGGCGCGCGGAGCCCGTCAGGGGCGGCGCCGCAGGCGCCGCCGTGGGGGTCCATGGCCGATCCACGGAATCTGGCTGGACCTCCGAACTCTTCGACCACTTTGAAAAGCAAAATCCGCCGACCCCTTGGGGTCTACGGCGTGGGAGGCTCTTGCCCCTCTCCAGACTCCTCCCCCGGGGGCTGCGTCTGGCCAGCTTGGGGGAGGGTGTGTGGGTGTGTGTGTGTGTGTGCACACACACACAAAGGTGCTGGCGGGCCTGGCCGCTCCAGAAATGCTCCTGGACGGCCTCCGACGGCTCCGAAATGGCGCGCAGGGGTTCCCAGAAGATCCAAAATGGCCCCCGTGTGCTCCCATACGGCACCAAGTCGGCCCGAGATGGCCTCAAGACAACCCAAAAGCCCAAGATGCCACCCGGGGGCCACAAGTGGACCCCCACGAGAGCCCCAACGAGCAAACAGTGTCCCATCACCTCAGGTTACCTTGCATGTTCTGCATATTCCCTT